TTACGACTTTACGACAACTTATGGTTTCTAAGTCATACGTGGTGGATCCCACTTTTAGGTGCAGTGTTACAGTCTCTAACCGTGCTTATTATCCATGCAAACCATTACGTGTCATCTAGTAGGACTACGATTACTTTTAACCATTTTATCCAAAAAGAAAAAACTAAATTCTAAAATGTAGTAAAAAAATATAAACATCAAATTTGACGCAACATAAATCTTAACTAATAAAAAAACACGTGCTATAATATAGATCCCGTTTAACATTACATGTTTATTAAATTAATTTTTATAAATTTTAAATTTATTTTTTAATTAATTAACATTTATATAATTACTACTTATAATATATATTTACTTTTAGTTATTGATTTGTATTTATAATAAATTGTATATTTTATTTTTTAATTTAATTATATAAAATAATAAGATTTACACTACAAGAAAATGCTTATCCATCCACGTGAATTTGTCACCTGATATTCATGTGGCTAAATAAAGTCAGTTGCAACGTAAAAATCACGTGGCAACGTGTTTTAATAATATAATAAAGAAGTATTAAGTGTGTCAGTTTTTTTTTTGTGTTAAAAAAAGTTGTGACGTGGGATTCACGTCGCTAATTAAAATATCATAAAAATTAAATTAATCACAACTTCCAACACTGACGTGTTCAGGTTTTGAAGGAAGAGAAAACAGTTGTATGATTGTTGCGACGTGAAAATCACGTGGCAACGTTGCGGCGTGATTTTCACGTCGCTACTTGCTTTATCTGATTTATCAAAACGCTCCACAACACACAGTAGCGTTTCACTTTGTTATACTTCTTCTTCAACCTTCCCTATTCCTCCGTACCCATTTTCTTCTCCAAATTTTTTTCTTCTCCACACTTAAATTCCTACCATCTCCATACATTGGTTGTAAGGTAATTTCAATTCAATGTTATTTATACTTTGTTAACAGCTTTTGATGTGTTATTTGAGTATAATTTTTTTTTCAATTTTTTTTTGAATAGAGAAAGAGAATATTGATAGAAGTATAGATTGCAAAAAGGGACAAGAAGATTGAAGGAGTTACAAGATAAAAGGTATGTCTTGAATATTTTATTTTTTTTGAAATTAGTATATTTTCTGAATTTGATTAATTTTTAGGTTATATATATTTTCTATATTTCATGAATTTGCATTGGGTTAAAATTATTGAATTTGGGTTATATATATTTTCTGTATTTGAGTTAAATGTTAGGTTTAATTATTTAGTTTATAATAATTATTAGTTATTAATTATTAATTTGTGATGAATGAGTTTAATTATTTTAGGAGTTTAAGTTTTTATATTTTTAGGAGTTTATAAATTTTTAGTGTTTAAATTAAATTTTTAGGAGTTTAATAAGTTTTTAAATTTTTAGGAGTTTATAAAATTTAGGTGTTTAAATTAAATTTTAAGTGTTTAAAAATAAATAAATATTTTTAGGAGTTTATAAATTTTAAGTGTTTAAATTAAATTTTTAGGAGTTTAATAAGTTTTTAAATTTTTAGGAGTTTATAAAATTTAGGTTTTTAAATTAAATTTTAATTGTTTAAAAATAAATAAATATTTTTAGGAGTTTATAAATATTTTTGAAAGCATATATTTATCTTTAATTGTATATGTTTAGGATTATTATTAAGTTGATTAATTAATATTTCTAATTAAATAGGTTTTGATTATATAAATTTGCAGTAAATGGAATATTATATGTATTATCGTAGTTGGATGTACGATAGACTATATCCAGGAAGACGCGCACTTAAACCCAATTTTATAGACGGAGTTAATGGTTTTATCGCGTGAACGTTTGCCCAGGAACGTTGTCGAAGTGAAGGAGGAGTTAGGTGTCCTTGTCTTAAATGTGGATGTAGATATATAATTAGTGACCCAGAGGAAATAACACGTCATTTGCATAGGAAAGGTTTCATTGAAAATTATTGGGTTTGGACGTATCATGGTGAAACACTGCCGAGTAATGTACCAGAGACTAGCAACACAAATGCTTCAAGTAGTCAACCGGTTATGCAACCACCTATGGAATTTGAAGAAAACTTTAATCTGATAGGTGACATGGTTGGTGATGCTTTTGGTGTTAACGTGACTTATGATCAACCTGAAGACTTTGACGGGGAAGAGTTGCCGAATGAGGAAGCGCAGAGATTTTATCAATTGTTGAATGAGATGAATACGCCGTTGTTTAAGGGGTCGTCAGACTCAAAGCTATCAATGTGTGTTAGATTATTGGCCGCTAAGTCAAATTGGAATGTTCCTGATCAGTGTTTGGAGCACTTCGCAAAAATGATGTTGGACTCAACTGCAACGAAAGACAACTTGCCTGCGAGTTTCTATGATGCAAAGAAGTTGGTGTCGAAGTTGGGTTTAAGAGTAAGAAAGATTGATTGTTGCATTAATGGTTGTATGTTGTTTTATGACAACGAGTTTGATACTCAAGATGGATCGTCAGAGGAATGTAAGTTTTGTCATAGTCCAAGATATAAAGTTCGCAATAGAGCCATTAACAGTAACCAAAAATGGATAGCAGTAAAGTCCATGTTTTATCTTCCGATAATACCAAAGTTAAAAAGAATGTTTTCTTCAATAAAGAACCAACCACTAATATTTCATAGATACATTTACATATATACGTGAATCTATTTCATGTATTCATTTGGTTAACATTCATATATTTATAATATATAATTATTTATAAAATTTAAATTTCTCGTTTTTAAAAATAATTGAAACTTATCTCCGTTTATAAAAATAACTATATTAATAGTTGATTTTTTCCCACTTATAAAAATATTTTTAATTTATTTCTATTTAAAAAAATTATTGTAACTTACTTTCATTTATAAAAGTAATTATATTAATATATATACTTTTTCCTATTTTAAGTGTCTTGAACTAGTGTGACAATTTATAAAGATATTTTTACTTATTCATGTTAAAAATAATTGCATCAATAGTTGAATTTTATTCGTTTATAAAAATATTTGTAACTTATTCTCGATTATAAAAGATATTGTAATTTATTTTAATTTCTACAAATAATTATATCAACTTGTAGAATTTTTATCGTTTATAAAAATATTTGTAAGTTATTTATGTTTATAAAAATAATTATAAAAATAAATATTTATCATATTATCTTAAATTTATTTATTCAATAATGATAAATATATATCTCATATTTAATTATGTTTATAAATAAATATCGTGTATTAGTGATATATATTTAATTTATTATTTTAATATCTAATTAATTTATTGTTCAGTAAATTAAATATTCTAATTAATCAAAATAAATTTATTATTGACAATAAAAAATCACAATATTAAATAATAATATAACATTTATTATTGTATATATCATTAGGAAAAGTAATAAAAAAATTAAATTTAAGAATATTGAAAAATTAATTATAATATTATTGTATAACATTTATTCTTATGTTTTTAGAATGATAAACTAAATATTTAACTCTAGAATAAAAAAAATTATAATTTGTAGTAAGACGGGTAATCGTGATTTTTATTGATACTTTAGTCTTTATGTTTAATATTTATTAAAAATACGTGATTTTTTTAAATTTACAATTTTAAATTTTTTACCATATATAACAGCTCTCTGTAAAATCTCAATTATAAATGAATATCTACACTTCATGGTATTTTAAAATAAGTTATGTAATTGAAATTAGTTAGAATAATGAGATACTTATTTTTATAGTTTAGGATGAATTTTTCTCATTTATAAATCTTTTAATATTAATGATTAGATTTATTACACGACATATTTTAAAAATAAGTACTCCACAATAACAACCAAAAATTTAGAATCTATTTGTATAAATAAAATCTCAAACAATATACTTAAAAATACTTAATATTACATTATAATATAGTAATATATACCAATAAGATTGCAAAAAATTATAATATAATATAAAAATTATTAAAATATATATAAAGTTATCATTAATGATCTATTCTTATATATTTATACGAGAGAATGTTCAAAAGAAAAGAAAAAATTATTATTAAGAAAATACAAAATTATTATAATTTATTACAAATTTTAAATTATAGAAAAATAAAATATATTAATAATATATTTATTATAATTAATTAAAATTAAAATTGTCATTATTTTTACTTCTTATGAAATAGCAAATGTTCATAATACTATATACATTTAAAAAATAAATAAATATAAATCCTTTCGAATCTTTTTAACAAATCTTCATAAAATAATAATAAAATATTATTTTAAGTTATTTGTAAATTAATAATATTATATAAATTTATTTTATATATTAATTCAAGATTGCGTCTATAATAATAAATTATATAATAAATTATTATAATATTTTTATATAAATAAATAAATCTATTATAATAAATAGACTAGAAAATAACTCACACATTTTAACTTAATACACATAAGATAAAAAATCTAAAATATAAACAAATATTTATAAAAAATACACAAAATTAAAATACAATCTTTATATATATATATATATATATATATATATATATATATATATATATATATATATATATATATATATATATATATATATATATATATATATATATATATATATATATATATATATATATATATATATATATATATATATATATATATATATATATATATATATATCACTTTCAACCATTAACAAACAAAAAAAATAATCAAAAGGAAACATTTTAGCTCCTAATTACAACATATAAAAAAGAATACATATAACTCAACAAGCGTGAATTTGTTAACTTCCATTATCAATGAATTGTTATTTTTAATCTCAAAACAGCGTTGATTGTATATATATTCAGTACGCATAAAATATTAAACAATACTTATTTCGCAATTTCGCACGTTCTTCAAACTTAAAACGATCGAGAATTGTCGATAAATAGAGAAGTTATGTTACACAAACACCCAACCAAAACTTTACAATTTAATACAATTGCAAAATCACTGTAATCGCCGCAACACCGACACCGTAAACTCTGATCAACAACGAAGACACCGTTAATCTCTCAGGTTCCACTCGAATTGTAACCACGATATCATAGCCTTCGTCAACATTCTTCCAAGTCGCGCCATCCTTCAGATTTCGTTGAAACCGCGATTGAACCCCTCCAGCAGCAGCCACCATGCAACCCTTGTTCAGTTCTTGTTTGGAAAGAGATGAGAGAAAAAAAATAATGGATCAGAGATGGAAGAAGGAGAGATTATCGGAGAAGATGCTGATTGTTAAGGAGAACAACCTCTAGTGGTGGGAGAAGAAGCAATGCTCAGCAACAATGCACCCGCAATCATAAAAGTCAAATTCAAATTGAAGAAAGACATTTTTGTTTTTCTCTTTCTGACTTGAAAGAAAAAGTGAATGAAATTTTTTGTTTTTGGAACTTGAAAACAGTGAAGTCCAGCAATTAATTTAAACTTATAAATATGTCAGACCTAAAATCAATAGCATAAATCTTGGAAAGGATGGGTGGAGTCGAATACTGTGTGTCTTCAGAAAAAATTCGATTGTCTTTTCCAATTTCCAAGTCCAATATAAATATAGATATTACTCTCTCCGTTTCTTTTTAATTGTCATTTTAGCATAAAGTTCTTCAACCAAGATAGTGGATTATTAGACTTATTTTTTCTATTATACCCTCATTTATTTTCTCTTTTCAAATAAATTCAATCATACACCATATCTCTTTTTCCAATAACTAATTGAGAAAATAATTAATTTTATAGAAAATGTGAAGTAAAGTTATTGAGAAAGTAGAGATATAATTGACGAATGATAATATTAAACTATAAAAACGACACTTAAATAAAAACAAAAAAATTCTTCTGACACTTAAAAAGGAACAGAAGGAGTAATAAATTAAGATTTTGTAATATAGGTTGTAAAAAATAAAATAATTAAAAATAATTATTTTATTAAAAAAATCTGGATATATCAAATCACATCATTAAATACCAAATTAAAATAAAGAGAATAGTAGTTGATTAGATTGTTATATTCTTACAATTAGTTAAATTTAAACTTTTAATTAAAATGATTATAGTGTAATAAAGTAATACTTTAAAATTTATATATTTATAATAGATTCGAGTCATGTTTGTTGTTTTAAGTTCCATTTCTAAAAGAATCTCAGTTATTTCGAAGCATTAGATTAGTCTTTGAGTTTACGTTTTTTTATTTATTTTTAAATGTACAAAATTATGTGAGTGATTTTTTTTTGGTTAAATAGAGGTACTCTTATGTGAGTTTGAAATCTTTTTTATTGCAACGACAATCTCTAGGCATAATTTCATATAAAACATAACCACTCGTTTATATTCGACAGTGTATCTATCTATTATAGTAGTAAACGACGACGATGAAAACAGTGACAGCAACGTCGTTTGATGTCTCCGCCGCTTGCTTCCATCCACGCCCTCTTAATCTACGCCATAAGACCAACATGACTAGGTAACATAACATAACCATCATGTTTTTCTTTTCTTTTCTTTACTTCTGTTTCTTCGATTTAATAGTGTTTTTGTTACGTGCAGTTTTTCGTTTGTAAGATCCTCCAACTTTAATAAGGGACATAGAAGCGTTGTGGTTCAACAAAAGTTTTTGAACTTCCGGTAAGTGTATAGAAAGTGTGAATCATAATTCACGATCTTCAATAAAACAGCTAGCATACATACTTTGATTTTGTTTTTGTTGTTGTTTTCAGTAATTAACATTGTTGATGGTTTTATATTGAAGCATGATGTGTAGTTTAAAGGGGAATTTGGAGGAGGTTGTTGGAGTTCCATCTTCAGTGCCTGTGCGTGTAGCTCACGACCTTTTTCTAGCTGGCCATAAGTATCTTGATGTAAGGTAAAGTAACCAATTTAATTAAGAGTTAAGTATATTTTTAAGAAAGTGTTAATTTAATTAATTAATTATTGTATATTATAGTGGTGTTTTGGAAGAAGCCAAAACTCACCACTGGATGTTTTTTGTGATTGTGCAGGACCACTGAAGAGTTTAATGCCGGACATGCTCCTGAGGCAATTAACATACCCTATATGTATAGAGTTGGATCAGGTTCTATTTCAATTTTCAAATGCTTTGTTTAATTGTGATTATCATGATGGTAATTAATATACTATTCTGAGTGTTGAAGTTAGCTCGTTTTTTTGTTCATCATGTATTCAGGGATGACAAAGAATAGCAATTTTGTTAAAGAAGTTTCTTCACATTTTAGAAAAGAAGCTGAAATTATTGTTGTGAGTGTGTATAACCTTTGCCAGTAATCATTAGATTCTGTATGAAATTTTCATGTACTCCAACTTGAACAATCTCTTGATGTTCTTATTTTTGCAGGGGTGTCAACTTGGTAAAAGGTCTATGATGGCTGCTACTGACTTGTTAGCTTCTGTATGCATTTCTTCTCTCAATAAACACTAAACTTTATTATTTATGCAGTTTCTATCTATGAATCACATACACTGAACATCTCGCGGTGTCTGACGCATAGTGTTTGATATAAAAAACATGAGCTGAAAAATTGTGTAGTGACAAAAAATTTGTATTGTATAGGGGTTCACTGGAGTCACAGACATAGCTGGTGGTTATGCTGCTTGGACCCAAAATGGACTTCCTACCGAAAGATGAAGCATTCTAGTTGGACTTGAAGCTGTATATAGAATAATGAGTAGTATTCTGGTTGGATCATGTAAATGCATAAAAACTAAGGGGGTGGGTGAAATGGTTTTGTATACTTGGTACAATTAAAATTAATCTTAATTCTCACAAGTAAACAACAATGTTAAGCTCTGTCTCTGCAATTTCAATTACTTCACTACAAAGTTACAACCAAGCACTGAAGTTCATTTAACCTTTGTCTCTGCAATGTCAATTGCTGGTTCAAAGCTGTTTTCAAATCCCCTTTGAGCTTTGGCTTAAACCTGTCTCAGAATTTTTGGAAGGACTCTTTCAGTTAAATAATTTTATCCTTTTATCTTATTCTCTTAAATTTGAAAAAGTAATAAGTAATGTTTGATTTATTTTTTATGGTTTCTTTGATAAAATAATAGTCTCTTATATTTCTCCTTGAATAAAACATTTTCTCTTTTTAAGCGTGTATCTTTAGATTGACGGTGAACATAATTGATTTAAAACATAATTGAGTTTGATAGAATTGATTTTAAAATAATTAATTTAAAAAAAATTAATTTATATTTAAATATATTTATATAAAAGTGAATTGAACAATAAATTTCAATATAAAAATAATTCATAATCAATTCTTGATACAAAAGTTACAAATTATAACTTTGAGTAGAAACAATTCTAAAGTAAATATTAATTTCACTTTAACCGAACCAATTTAAAGTATTTTTACTCCTTAGAAGCTAAATAAATTACGATACAAAATCTTATAAAATAATTTTAATTCTGTTAGAGAATAAGGGCATGTTTAATTCAGTTTTGTTTGGTAGTATAATTTTATAAAATTATTTTTAAAAACTAATTTCTATTTACAATTGGAAAAACTAAAAAAAATAGAATAGATTTTTGAAGTTTGGTTTTTTGGGTTTCTAATTTTGAAAACTAGAAAGAAGAAAAAGCAAGGGAAAATTATAATTTTTTATTAATAGTAAATTTGTAATATTTTGCAATTTTAAAATAGTTTCTAAAAGTAAGATTTCCAATTTTTTTTAATATTGTTTTTTAAAATTGATTTTAAAATAGTTTTTAAAAACTAAAAACTAAAACATATTCAAACGAACTCTAAGTAATTCTCAATACATCCGATATATTTATCTCTTTGTGAAAAATATCTCTCCAATCTATATATTTTGGAACATAATTTTTTTCCTATTATTAGTTACACATGATTTCTAATTAATTTTGATTTAAATTATTTATACTACAATTTGTATTACATTAAAGATTGACTTATATACTTGATAAAAGTACAAATGCGTGACAATTCTCATTGATTAAGGTCTCCCAAAGATTTTAGGGTTTACTGTGAGGTTGAAAGTTAGCTCATGAAGGATGAAAAATTATGTATATGTGTATTTTTATATTAGAGTTAGGTTATTATCCGCTCAACCATGATGTTAGGAAATTTATAGTCACATTGGACATGAATTTAAAATTTCAGTAGCAACCACTTAAGAAATGGGTAGTTTATTTCTTGATATTCAGAGGAGCGTGATCTACTTCCCCACGACTTATTCCATGTCGTTACAGAATGAGGACATGTCTCTTGCCAATTTCCACATTGGGAGACTTATCTCTGAGTAAGGCGAGATATCTAATAAACTAGTGATTGATCTAATAAAGGGGCAGCCGAAATTCCCTGCATCACCTCTGAAGACATTCTCACAAATATACCAATACACAACCCTTCCCTTAAAGAATTTCTCCTGGTTCCCTTCCTGGATAAGTCAGTATATCTCACTTTTAAGTTGATGGAAATCTTCCTTATGATTCCCCTTGACTTTGTAGAACTTGCACCAACTGTTAGGCTCAGGATCCACGACACCTACTTTCGGAGCTAGCGAATGAGAGATGTTATCCATGTGAAGGACCTCTTGTTGTATGTGCTTACGCCAAGTGTTCAAAGGCATGAAGCTTTCAGTGGGTTTTCCTTTTGGCTTGAACGTTGCCATGTCCCTCATGGGCGACATATATTGACTCTTTTACAAAATGCCAGAGTTATGGATATGTTCCTTCATGTATCAGGCCTTCTCTTCATCATCGCTCTCCTATCCTTTAATGTAATAATCTACACGAGTTACCACTTCAGCCAAGGACATGGTTGGCCTCTGGGTGAGTGACTCATTGAACTGTCTAACTCTAAGCACATTTTGAAACGCTTCCACGAATATCTCCTGGTTCAGATGGATCACCTTGATTATAGATTCATTAAAGTGGGTGAGGTACTCCTTTAGAGATCCAGAAGGGCTTTGGATAATGTTAAATACGCTAGTGGCGGTCATCTTTATATGCTTAATCATGACTAATTTATGGACCAACTTCTTCACCAAGTCCTGATAGCTAATAAGAGAGAGATGGATGAGGCTCATATACCACCTTAAAGATGTGTCTCTAAAGGAATCAGATATAAGTTTTCATTTCAAGAAGTCAGGTACCCCAATGATGGCCAATTGTGTGTTGATGGAGGTGACATATTCAAATGGGTCATTGTGTCCATTGAACTTAGCCAATGATGGCAGATTAAAATTTTCTAGGACATGTGCTTACCACATCTCATCTGATAAAGGTTAGGGATCCAATAGCTCTAATTCGTCCACCATGTATGTATTTTGCTAGCGCAACTGGATATAGAGGATGT